CCAAGGGTGGAAGAACCAGTTTCTGACATAACTCAGGAGGGTAAACTGTTTGGCGTTGTTGACAGGTTTTGCTACTTGGGTTCTACAATCCGTAGGAATCTTGACAGAATTAGAACTAACAGAATCAGAAAAGCAGCTAAGAATTTTAGGCTGTTACAGAAACATGCATGGTACAAACTACCAACTAAGGTAAAGATGTGAATCTACAAGATTTGTGTATTGTCATTCCTGCTTTATGATTTAGTGGACTACATATGTTAAGCACAGCAAAAGGCTGAACAGCTTCCACAAGATCCTGAAAATGAAGTGGGAAGACAATGCCAAACACAGAGGGGCTAGAGCATGCATGACTGACACACTTAGAAACCACTATCAAGAAGAGGAGGATGCAATGGTTCAGCCATGTCAGAAGAATGGGAGGAGACCACATCCCAAAGAATATTTTGTACAACAAGATTTGAGATGGCTCTAGAAAGTGGGGTTGCCCTTTATGGTGGTGCCACAACATTTGCAAAAATTATATGAAGTCAGTTAACATCAATGTAGAAAGATGGCAGGAGTGCACAGAATGCCATGCTATCTGGAGGGAACATCTGGCACTGTAGCATGAGCAGAACTAATGTAGCTGATGTTAACATAGAGTGTAATAATAGTGAAATGTAACTATGTTAGTCTTGTCTTGTAAGCAACTTGAAAACTATTTTGTATCCTTCTGCTTGACATAAGTGAATGAACTTTGCATAGCCTTTATGTATGAGTGTGTGTAAAAGGGTGAATTGTGAGAGAATGGCACAGAGATGGGAGAAGAAGATTCAACTATTTATGTAAGCAACAAGGCGCCAATTGTAAGTTACCAACCACTAACTAACAAAGGGATTCTTCAGCCGTTTGAAGCTTGAAGGCACAAAGGAGATAACAGAAGAAGAAATTCTGCCAGACGGGCAACAAGAACACTCCAAGGCTAAGATAAGCTGAAGACAAAAGAAGAACAACTGCAAAAACAGAAGCTGGGTATGGAAAAACCCCAAAGCACTGAAACAAAGGATGCCAATCCCTGTAAAAGAACACTTTGAAAATGCCAAGTTGGGTGAGTCTCTTTCTCTACTGCTGTTTCATCAGAGCACAGATGCATCTGTTCACCCTGCTCCAGCTGTTATCTTTAAATCTGCTGTCTTCAAATCATTATTATCTACTCAATAAGCCCGGGCTGGCCACCCTGGGCTGATACTGAGCAACTATTGCTGGTAACTATATCTGGTGTATGTGTGGATGAAATAGTTTTTGTGTGTATGCCTGTGTGTATGATGATTTGTGTGTGTTTGTATGAATGGTGCACCTGAACCTTTATGCCTAACTCATGTAATCAATAAATGCGGCACCCTGCCTTATCCCCCTTTATAAAGTCTTGCTCGTGTTTTGAGCAATTGGCAATTTCTGTAACAGCACTGGGTGCAGCTCAACATGAAGCAGCTTTGATCCTGAGCATGGAAGCAAAGTGAGACAGGAAGAAGTGGTGTGCTGTAAACTTGAACTCCAATTCAAACAAAACATGGATCTGTAAATTTGTAACAAGCTATATCAGTCTCAAATTAGGCTTGTCAGCCACAAGTGGCTCAGACACCAGACTAGACCTCTTTCATGTACACCATAACCCAGAGGATCGAAGGTTGCCTTTTATTATATGGGGAGAACAGAAGCACAAAGAATGAAGCCAGGTCAGATAGTTGTATTCTGCAAGTGAAACTTACGTTACTGAGGCTGCTTGCAGACATTAAGGGAAAAAAAGTGCTTTACTGGAAACAGCAGCACATCCTTTCAACCCAGCTCTGCAGTGTCTGCATAGATTGGGTTCTTCAGCGGGGCTCTCTCACACTTTTACCTAAAACTGAGTCAATCAGCTACTAGATAAAAGTGCCAAACAAGCCCCACTAAAGTACCCATCTATACAGATGTTGGGTGAGCTGGGTCCAACAAACATGCTGCCTTTTCTGGCATGCACTGGGCTTGGCCCAGGAACACACCAAGTTTAAAATAAAGCACAGGTTTGGTTTTTGGTTTTAAATGTCTGCAAGCAGCCTGAGGTGGCAGACATAGATATAGATATGCTTCTATTCAAATGCTGGCCATTTTGCTTGAGATTGTATTTTGGGTTAGTTTTGGATCAACTGGATATACTGAAGGCACTAGTCATGCCAAGGCATCTAACAGGGAGGCTGGCATTTTCCACCTTTTCAAATGCATCATCAGAGGTGAAACATTAATTTTCTACTGGTTCAGGAAACAGCAGATTTTTTGCAATAACCAATTTTATCATTATGCATTCCTGCTCTTAGAGGGGAAGAGCTGGACACTCTGTCTATACGTTACACAGCAAAGAAATGAAATGAAGAGACTCAGAAATCTAGGGGCTTACTCCATTACTCAAAGGTTTTGTGGTTACACTAGGTTGGACCTACTTCCATATCTTCCATATCCATTTCTCCCCTGCCTTCTACTTCCCCCATCTCCAGCCCTGTGCCCTGTTCCTGTTCTCTTGCTTCCCAAGCTCTTGGCCTAACGTAGCTCCTGCTTCTGTTAGTCTTTTTCCTTAACCATTCCTTCCTCCCACTTTCCCTATATTGGAGCCAGGTAGCTTCCTCCTCCACAGTGCTTGGGCATCTGCAGTAGAATCATTCAGAGCACAGAAAATCATCTCCCTAAACTTTGTGTCTAGTACATGGCACCACAACAGTACCCAGCAATTTACGACCAACCTAAGGGAAATTGCTGTTCAGTGTCTACATCCTGGGATTACCGTATACATGGTACAGATAGAATTCTCTAATAATTTAGCTCTCAAGTGAAAAAAGAGCAACTAATCATGTATACATTTATATTTTTCAGAGTTATGATTTAGTCAAAGCTGACAGAATCTTTACAAAAACAGCAAAAAGGCACACACTCCTTCTGCCACCCCATAGCCAAGACAAATTTCAACTCCCTATGCAAAACTTCTCAACACACACACAAAAAATGAAGAGTTTTTGAACACAGCCAGAACAACATTTTTCTCTAAGCGTGTTTTTTGGAAGTTTCTGGACCATTTTAGCGGTATCTTCTAAAAATACTCAGCTTGAGGCAAGCACATAAAATGGGACTCTTCAGCCTGAAAAACTAAAGTTCAGCAAAATAATACGCAATTGATAATGGAAAGTATTAGGCAACTCTACACATAGGTATCAGAAATTGCACTCCCTATAATAAAGAGAAATCAATTAAAATGTTATTACATGAGGTATTTACATGAAGGAGATTCTTATGTGCTAGTCACTAACTCACTTATTTGTTTCATTTAAGATATAAAAGTGGAATCTATTATTAATATTAAACTACCATGCCAGAAATAAGGAGTTGAATATATCTAGAAATTTTATACCATAAACACAACTCTCAGCACTACCACAATAATGTTGACATTGTGATTGTGTGTATCCACTCCTGTAAGTCTGTGGGTTAAAGGAGGGCTGCTGAGCTAGAAAGTCCTGAAGCTGTGCATTGAAAAGGCAAGAATAAAAACTAAGATGGGCCTAGAAAGAACGGAAAATGTCTATGCTTTTTAGAGCATTGCTTGGGCAAAGAATTGGGACCAGAAAAGGTAAAAAGCTTCTTCCTGACCAAAGAAGGATCACAGACATGATTAAAAATCTGCAGTGGAGTTAGAACTACTTCCAGCTTTTCTACAAGCCTGATTGCACATTCTCTTTTTTATTTGTTCTGTGAGAAGGAAAAAAAACACAAAGAACTGTTCGCTTGCTAGAAGGCTTGCTATTTTATTTATTAAAAAAAGAAGGTTTCCAAAGCACCAGGACTAGCTAAGCACTATAGTATACTGACTTCTGCTTCTGAAGACGGAAGGAAGAAGTATTATGAATAAAGTTCAGCAAATGAAGTCTGACAACCCTCAGTGCACCTTGATAATAATATTCAAGAGAAGACTGCTAGAATCTTTCTTGGCTAGAACTTCGATATCTAGACTTTTTGGGCCAGATGCCAAGAACTTGAGTCTGCAATTTATGCATTGCTTCTAGCCCTGTTTCCCCACAGCAGGGATAGTAGCCTTTATTGTACTATTTTGGCTGTTTAAAACCTGTGCCTTAAAGGCATCATATATTCCTTTACATTTCTCTCTGCTGTGCCACCTTCAGAAAATTTAATAATGGCTTACAACACTGATGACCACTGCCTATAGTGCTGGCCAATACTGTTTAACAATTTCTTTATATTCACACTTCTATCCACATCCAACTGTAGTCTCTCGTTTTAGACTTAAGATTGTTAGCACCTTGAGACAGAGATCTTCTGGTTGTGTTTGTACAGCACCTAATGTAATTGGATTCTGATCTATGAATGGGACTTATACAAACACCACAAGGATTACTCTCAAGTTTCAGCCAATAGATTTTTATGGCAGCTTGTTTACCTGCTTAGTGGAATGACTTGGTATAGGGGTGTCAAGCATACAGTCTCCATGGCCACTGAAATCCAGGGCATAAAGCCCCAGGTAGGCAATGGTGGGTGAGTGACAGCTGCATTAACCCTTGCAGCTACCATTCTCATTTGTTACATCGCCATCCTACGGTCCACGGGCAGGGTAAGATAGAAATCCCTTAATATGATTACATTACACTTGCACACCATAAAACACACCAATTGGTTTTCCAGAAACTTAAATAGTAATGTGCAGCTAGTTAATTCTAATCAGTAAAGCCTGAAGGGTTTAGAGCCTGCCTTTTTTTTTTTTTAAAAAAGGAGCTGCACTTTTTTTTAACATGCCTCACAACCAGGGTTGGTAGAAAAACAAACCTATAACCAATGGAGTAAGATACTTAAAAAGGACATCATCATGCCTTTTTCACTAATGTTTTAGAAAATGTATCCATTTAAAATTCTAAAAGGAACTGTGGTATGAATTACAGAGCATGTATTAATTCTCAAGCTTTTATATTTAGCCTTTCAGTTACCTTGTCTGCATCTATTTTTCCTCTAATAAATTCTGATCTCCAGAATTCCAGAGCTTGTTCCAGCGTTAAGCCAATTCCCTTTAAGAACAGGCCATACTGCATACGACCTCCATGACGGAGATGATGGTTTTCTCGTAGGGCTTTATGCAATTGCCGCATGCAGATAGGGTATGATTTAACAGAGAGCTGCAAGAACAAGACGAAAAACAGACCAGTTAACTTGAAGAATACATGTTTATTGTCATAACTAAATTAACTCCAAAAGGAAAGGGGATGGGGAGGAAAAATATCACCCCCCTCCCCTCCCCCCCCACAACTGTAGCTAACAAAAATGTGTCCTTGACCCTTGAAAAATCCAATAAATCTTTCACGGCCATAAAGATAAAAACATAATAAAGGAACAAGGTGAAAATATTTCAATCTCTTCAATTACTATATCACGAGAGTTAAATCTGTAATAGGAAATATTTTACCTTAATTACCCTTTCTTCTCAGGAAAAACCCCACCAATCTATTACAATGGGTCCTACTCCTGTTGGCAGTTTCTTGGAGACAGAAACTGGACCTATCCATTAAGGCAAACTGGCAGTGACTAAACCTCTCAAGGCCAAGCAGTCAGCCAGTTTGAGATAGCACTATGAAGCAGCTTTAGAAGTCTGTCCTTTAAAAAGTTTAGTTTAGCTACTAAGAGATAGGACACGAAATGTACACAATCACTCCAGTGTCACTTCAGAATCTATGCCAATTACCAAAGAATTTTATCTATAAATTAGTGCCTTTAAAGAAAGTGAAAGAGGCTGCATACAACAGTTAAGCCTCCTGTAGGAGCTTCTGCCAGGAGTGTTGAACCTATAGATCTTCCTGATAGAATTTTTTTTTTTTCCAATAGCATAAGATAAATGCACAGATCCATTTAAAAGGAAAGGTGAAAAAAAGCAAGACCAGGTGGCCACCTTATGTGTGTCTCTGAATGTTGTATATGATCCTTCAGACCTGGATACTTCCATGGTACCAAATGAACAAATAGAGGGGGAAAAGTTTCTACATGTGAAAGCTTCTAAAAGTGCAAATTAGTCATCTAATAACTAAAAGCTTAAATCATTTTGTTTTTTCTTTCACAGCAATTCTTCTAAGAAATTTTCTAGAAGAGAGGACACACTACTGCTCTATTGATCAAGAAATGGCACTATCTTCTATTTTTAATATTTTAGGCCTGTTTTATATCTTTTTTTTGCTTGCACATTAATTATATCCACCTGTGGTAATAACTTAGTGCGAGGAGCATCTACACATGCGCTTAACTGCACAGTAAACTAATTTGCTATGATACAGAGCATCACAGTCTACATGCGCAACGGTATTAGACAGCAGCAAACTAATTTTCACTGCCATAAGATAGTGCTGTCAAGGGCTATCTTATGGCAGCGAAAATAACTGCACCTAAATGCATGTATAAAAGCTGACCTGGGCATACATTGTGCCCAGTCAGTAAGGGGCCAGACCCCTTCCTGCAGCCTAGCCACAGAGCTCCTGACACTGGGGCACTCTTATGCCCCAGCCAGCCCCTCTGTCACCTGATGCCATTTCCCAGAATCTAGAACTGACTTCCGGGGCCCCCTGCCAGTGCAGGGCTGCTCCACCCTAGTGCAAACTGCACCAGAGTTTAATCACATGATCCTAATGGCACGTGTAGATGCACCCACTATGTACTACTATACCAGGGCTGTCCAACTCGTATAGTAACACCTGCTGTAACGGATTTACAGACTTTCCCTGTGGAAAAGAGTATTAGAGTCTACAAATGGAGCAAACTCTCAGATGGTAAAAAATTGTATCAGTCAATTTATTAATGCCATAAAAGAAAAAACAGAATAAATCTGAAGATTAAATTATTTTGATCTGATTGAGTATTGTCATGATATTCGCTTTACAAGGAAACGATCATTGCTAAAAAGGAACAACTTGAAGCCAGTCAATTTTAAGAAAATGAGTTAAAGTCATTTTTGTTATTAATATGTTTCTGATTTCCTCTGAAGATTGTTGTTTTACAATCAATTACCATATTCCATTTTTTAAATGCATTTTTCTTTCCCTTGTAATGTGAAAGGCCAAGAAAAATAACATGAGTATTGGCTGATTACAAAGAGAAAATGGAAACTGATCACACACCAAATGCTGTTAAATGTACATTGATTAGAATGAATAAAGAAAAATATTTTCTTAAATTTCTTTCAGTTACAGTAATCTTAGCTATAAATCAGAACAGGAGGCAAAATTGCACAGTAAATTACAATAACCAACAACTACTCCATTCTAATTTTTCATAAGTCAAACCTTAAGTTTTACTGTATTTTACTGCATTTATATATTTCAATTCTTTTCAACAATTCCTCAGAACATAGCTTGGGAACTAAGAGAAAGCAAAGTTTTAAAGACAGCCTGTCTGCACAGAGAACAAAGGCTTTGAAAACCAGTCATACCTTATCAGATACTGAGATGAAGTTTAAATTGTTTCTAAAGAATCGTATGAAAGCAACAACAAACATATATCCTCCAAATGTTAAGCAAAAAGTACTTACAGCATCAATCTGCTCTAGTGAAATTTTTCCAGTATTTTTTTGTGCACTGTAATCTGGGCCAATGTAGGAATGGCTGAAAGAAAAATGAAATAATGTACTACTAAAACTGACCACTGCAAAAGGACTTTTTGCTATTTTGTAGCAATATAAAGTTAATTTTATCAGCTGAAATGATTTTAACATGGAAACAAGAAAACCATTCTGACAAATATAGAGATATCCTTGTAAATCTGATTTAAATTAAACAATAAAAATCAAGAGTAGGAAGTTATTTTGTTGGTAGTGTTATTCTGAAGAGGGTAAAAAGATGCATGAGAGTTGAAAATTAATGAATTGTAAACAGAGTTGAAAAATAATGAGACCCTGTGATAACAATGTAATGAAAAAAGGAAGTAAATTAAAACCTAATTCACATATTGAAAGAATGTGAGTACATCTATACTGTAAACTGCAATATAACTGAGCTACCTTTAAACCAGCTGGTTCAGGTACTGAGAGAATACAGGCACAGAAGCACATATCTCTACATGGGCAAATTTACCCTGCTTCACAGTAAGAGGATCTACATCTTACAGAAACTTGTGCTCCAGGGATCATAGAAGGATCCCATGGATTTATCTAGGAACTAAATCTGGAGCCTGGCTTTGCATTCCTTTCTATAACAGTGTGGCAGTGCTGTGTTTGTGCCTGCCACTTTAAGAACATATGGCAGGCCATGGAGTAGCAGGCAGATGAATTCAGGCCCAATTAGGCAGTCACCTGACCACACGACTGCCTGACTGGAGGAGGGCTGGGCAGGGAGTGCATAAACTCAGATCCTGGGAGCAGAGCCCACAGTTACATCTGTGGAGCCAGAGAAGCAACATCTCCCAGCAAAAAGATTGCAGCTCCTGGAACACCTAGAGATCAGAGTAGGAACTATGGGGAAGAAGGAGGTTCCTTCTGGTCCTGGGTAAGACCTGAAACTGCACCCTGCTCGGGTTGGATGGTGTGGTGGGACTGCGTGTGGCGAGGCAACCCCTGGAGCTGCCAGACCTGTGCCTCCTCAGTGAAAAATGAGGATGGGGTGCAGGAAAGCCTTAGCACCCACTGCCTTGTGGGTCACCCCGCAGAGGGGGAAGGCTTGGGGCCTAAGGAACGAAAGATCTGGAGAGCAAGTGAGTAAGTGAGGCAGCCCAAAGGGCTGCACAGAATAGGGCCTGAAAGGTGGTCTCAGGGACTGCATAGAGTAGGGCAGCATGAGTGTGTGGCCCAGAGACAGATCGGAGTATGGTCCAGTGAGGGGCTAAGAGGGAAACTGAGGCCTGCATGGGGCCAGAGGGAAAGTGCAGCCCAGTAAGGGTCTGGGGGAGTAGTAAAGAGAAATGGAAGCCATCTGCAAGGCATGGGACATGGTATAGGGGTGGCTCAGAGCCAAATAATTGGCCCAGAACACCAATGTCAAAAATTGACGGCCTCCTGCATTTTTACATCAATTCATTTTTACATCAAAGGCATGGCAGACGAGTGAAGGCAGACTGCCCTAAATGGGGGGAGGGCATTGATCTCTTTGGGTACCTGGGGATCCCCCATTACAATCAGGAAGTGAAAAAATTACAAAGCAAGCATTTACCAGGGATGTTAGACTCCCCTAAACAATAAAGGCACATAATATGTCTATCAATAATGGACACACCACAAGATGGATACAATTTATACCCCAGAGACCTAGGAGAAGCCATAACAATGTGCAAGAAAGGAGGGCTGGAGATCCTGAAAAAAGAGGGAAAAAAATCATATAAATAAGGTCTGGTTCATGTTCACAAGACTATCAAGTCTCACAGAGTTGAAAGCACCACAAACTGCACACCAGGGGAAGCTTGAGGTCTCTTTAATAGAACAAAAATATCAAAAGAAATAGGAGACAGAGAAGAAAAAATTAGAAAGGAAGAAATACCGTACCTCTCAAGGTGGACACAAAGTTAAGATAAAACAAAAATCAGGCCAAGCACTATCTGAAAAGACTACAGAAGCTCTCTCTCAAGTCCAGGTGGTCTGACACCAACAAATAGGGACTTCAGAAGCACAAACTTAGAAACTAAAAGTTAAGAGATGTCAACTGGCTTCAGGACCATATCTAGAATGGTAGATATTGTACCATATCTACACAATTTGAATGTATGAACTTACCGTAAGCCAGAAATGACTTATCTGGAACTTGAATCTGATGCAAGAGAGAAGAACTTTAATACTCAGTCTTAAAGACAAAGTAGTAAATGAGGGTAATGGTAGGGTAGCCTATGAGACTAGTAACAATGAAAATTATCATATCTGATGTAGAAACATAACCTAGCACTAATTTACTATGATGAGGATGAAGGCAGACAAACAACCTCCATTCCAAAATGTGAAAAAGCAATTTCTGTAACAGAGATCTTTGATGAATCTGCTAGTTTGGAGATAGTGCTTTATGATTTGAGGGCACCAAAAGCAGTCTGACACTGACAATCTATAACTCGGCTGTCCAAGTTCAAAGTACCTAAGGGCCATAGGCTCAAACACTGTGAAATGAGCTACTATTTTCACTGACTGATTTTAAATATTTTTAAAAAGGACCTTTTTCATTCTTACAGATTTTAGGCCAGAAGGAAGTGCAGTCCAGTGTGACCTTTGGCCAAGAAGGCCTTTGACATTGTTTCTCACCCCATTCTCATAAAAAAACTAGGTGACTGCAGCATTGATGCCTACACAGTCAAATGGATGGCAAATTGGATCAATGGTCGCACCTAGAGAGTGGTGGTGGACAGGTTGTTTTTGACCCAGAGGGATGTAGGCAGTGGAGTTTCCCAGGGCTCAGTCCTTGGGCCTGTGCTATTCAACATCTTTATCAGTGACTTGAAGGTGAGCATGGAAAACACGCTGTCCAAATTCACTAATAACACAAAGATGTGGGGAAAAGTGGGCACACTGGAGCAGAGGAACAGAATCCAATTAGATCTAGACAGGTTACAGAGGTGAGCAGAGGAGAATAGAATGGAATTCAATGCAGACAAGTGCAAGGTGCTGCATCTAAGGAGAAAGAACCTGCAACATACCTATAGGCTGGGGAACACCCTTCTCAACAGCACAGTGGCTGAAAGGGATCTTGGAGTCATTGCTGACTCCAGGATGGACATGAGGCACCAATGCGAGGAAGCAGTCAGTAAGGCTAACCACACCTTGTCATGCATCTACAGACGCATCACAACCAGGTCCAGGGAGGTGACCCTTCCCCTCTATGCGGCATTTGTTAGGCCACAGTTGGAGTACTGCGCCCAGTTCTGAGAAGCACACTTAAAGAGGGATGAGGCTAACCTTGAGAGGGTCCAGAGGAGGGCCACTCACATGGTCAGGGGGCAGCAGCCCAGGCCCTACAAACATAGACTAAAGGGCCTGAATCTACTCAGCCTCCCCAAGAGAAGACTATGGGGATCTGGTGGCCACTTATAAATTCACTGGAGGGACCAGTGGAAAAAAGGTGAGGCTCTGTTCCCATGGGCACCACCCTTGGGCAGGGGGCTGGACTCGATCTTCCAAGGTGCCTCCCAGCCCTAATGTCTATGAAATCTATGAAGTTAACTCACAGTCCCCTCAGTATCCCAGGACGCTTTGCAGCCCTAGGCTGAACTATGCTATCTGCTCGAGCTGACTGAGAAGGAGGTGGGGGTGGAAGACCCTGCTCAGGACTGCAGCTGGGTCTGCCTGGCAAGAGCAAAGCCACCTCTCACAGGCTTTTCCCCCACTTGGCACTCGAATGGAGGGGGAAGAGGCATGGCTAGAAACTGCCTCCAGGCCAGCATGCTGAGGCGGAGGGGAGGGAGGTAAAGAAGAGGGGAGGGTTTAAACCCCGCTCTCTCCCACCAACACAGGACCCCAACCGGGGTCTGCCGGCAGGGGTGCAGCAGCCTGGAAGGGTAAATACCACCCCTCCCTCCTCTCTGGCTCAAGGCTGGCATCTGGCCACACCCCTGCCCCCTCTGCTCGAGTGGCAAGTGGGGAAAAGCATGCCAAACACCAGCTGGGGTCCCATCCCTTGCCTCCACCTCCCAGTGCCAGCTGCTGGAGCAGCGAAGAGAGCAAAGTGAGGCAGGGGCTGCTTCCCCCTCCCCCTCCAAGCACACCCCAGCTAGGGACCATGCAGGCCAGGTGGGGCTTTAAACTCTCCCTCCCTCACCAATCACACTCAGCTGGTCTGCCTTGCCTAGTCACACCCTCACCCTCAGCTCAAGCAGGGAGCAGGGACAAGCCTGGAGTGCTTCTCTCCCAGCTTCCCTCCAGCCTTTCAGCCACTGCCAAGAGGAAGAGAGGGCTTGCTCTAGCACCTCCCAGCTTCTAGCCTGTGGCACTGTAGGTATGTGGCTGCATTTCTGGGATCAAAAGCGAGTGTCTATTCACTTGCTTCTTGGTTCAATCTACACAGTTTAGACTAACCTGCAAAGATTGAATTGATTCAGGCTCAGCCTTTTTGAATGTCAGTACTTAGCCCAAGTGTCCAGAACTCTTATAGGCATAATTTTATGAGCAGAATTGTTCAGTGCGTGTGTGTTCTATATCACACAAAATATAATACATTTTAGCTAAAATGGCTCATTTCACTACAGCACAATCAGTATTAAAAGCCCCAGTGAATTGTAAGGAAAAAACAGCATCTCAGGTGTGAATAAAATAATCATATAGTGCACAATTGTGTTATTACAAAATAAAGTCTATGAATATAAAAAGATACTCACCACAAATTAAAATAAGAAATGGTCCTAAAAAATCTCTATAAACATACCACTCAGCAAAAGGTCTTTTTTTGCTGGAAGTGAGAAATGGCTAATTTAAAATTCACAAACAGATACAACCAGCTGCCAACAAATGTCCAATATGTTAGCAGCCAATCAATGCTATGTAACCTTCAGTTGTACACTCTTTTCAGACAACTTCTCTCAGCTCTTACCCCCCGATAAAGCTCTATTTGTCTGACAAATGCGAAAAATAAAATACTGCTGTAAGGAACTTCACAAGATGAAGGAAAAGCACAAGCCAACAACTAAAATACATTTCTCATTTTCATGAGCAAGATGAAGCAAAAAGTGAATCAGATTCATAGAAATAAGTAATAGAAAAGACTTATTAGGTCATCTCTCTATTCCCTGCCAGAGCTCATTCACAAGTCCTAAGTTCAATTTTACAGCGTGACTTATTGAGCCTTGCAAAGTTGTGACGTTTGTGGTTTTCATGGTTATGAAAATGGTTCTGCACAATTTTCTATATTTATTCTTATATTATATTTGGGAATATTTGTCCTTAGCTCTAGTGTGGCTCCTACAGCAGTGGAAGAGCAAATAAGATAAGTTTTCAACAGTGGCAGCTTAAACTGTATATCCAATACTAACATTTGCATGTGCAAATATATGCAGAAGTGCAAAAAGGAGAAGGTTATTTGCCAGTAACAAGAGTTCTTCAAGTTCCGTTGTCCCGATATACATTCCTACTCTGGGCGCACATGCACTTCAAGTACTCAAGCTCAAAAACGTTTGCCCTAGTGCTAATATACAAGGCATCTGACCAGCCTCCCTTCATGATCTGCACTGAAGTCAGAAACAGTGGGGTTGGTGTGTACTTCCGCACATCCCAGTTCCCTCAGTCACAATCTCAGACTGTCAACAGTTTTTTCTAATAAAACAGGCCATTACAAACCCAACAAGATTCACCTGGCAGATATCTGGATCTTGTTAAATCCTGGATAAACAGCAGGTGGAGAAGTACCATTCGGTCCCTTATAGAGCTGCCAAATGACTGTAAATGCAATCTTTTGTGATTGCTGCAGCTAATGAGAAGGCAAAGAACCTAAAATAGCTCAAGATAAGGAATTGAAAAGACTGGACTTACTAGAAGGAAGCCATTTTCTTTTAACCTACAGTTTCAAGTAGCCACTCTAAGTCCTGTTGGCACAGTATAACTTTTGGGATTTTTTATATGTGCTTCTGATACAGTGACAAGCACTTTTAATTAGCAAGCTGTACTAATTAAAAGTACCTGCGTATCATGTGCATCAGAAGCACAGTGCATCCCCACGCTGAGAAAATGGCAGTGGTGCACTTTGAACTAAAGTGCATTGAACATGTTTTAGTTCAAAGTGCACCACGACCATTTTCTCAGTGCAGAGGCATGCTGTGCCTCTGATGCACTAACATGTGAGGCTCCCAAAGCACATCACTTTCTCCCAGATCACCACTCCCTCCCTCACTGTGGGGGGGGGAGGGAGGGACTCAATCTGCACACAACCCCATGCCCCTTCCCTCCCCCCGCACCCTTTTCCTCCCAACAGACTTACCAGCCGGATGCTACTCTCCAAGTTGCCCAGCTACATATCAGCAATCGGATCAGTATTGGCCAATGTGGCTCATTAAAAATCAGCCATCAGTATCAGCCCAAAAAATTGATATCAGTGCACCCCTACATAAAAAGCCACATTTCTTAAGCTAGTAAAGTGCTATACTTGACTATGGCATGCTATTAAAAAAGAGAGGGGAAAGGACGAGAGAGGGGAATGCACCCACACTACAAACACAGCATTTGTGTAAAACAGTACATATCAGCTATGTGGGCTTTCTTCTCCTGAATATTGGCCAAGAAACTGATTTCTTCTACCAAAACACTTTAAAATAGCAAATGACAGTCATGTGCTGTTACTGACCATGGAGGTTAAATTAACCAACAAGAATATCTGCGGACAAAACTAACAAAAACAAGAGTTCAGATATTTGCTATCCAGCTAGAAGAAGAATCAAGATTTTTCTAACAACCTGTGGATGCATTTTCAGGCCCATGCTGTTGGTTCACTTTTTGAACTGTCTCAATCATAAAACAAGATGCTGTTCACCAGTGATGGAGCACCAGTTATGCTCTTAATGTATAGTATACAAAATTAGATACAACAATTATATTTTCCAAGTACCATAATTTGAACTTGCGTTTGTTTATGAAGAATCTTACATTTGGATTTAATCATACTAACAAAAAAAAAAAAAAAAAAAGGGTTTTGCCAGAAGTTACAACACAGGTGCCAACCTGAGATATAAATGCCACAAGCAGCACAGGCAGCTTCTGCATGTGGCAGTTTAGAGAGAGGATGGTCATGGTGGCAGATAGGGCAAGGAACAGAAAGCAGAGCATCAGATCAGTCAGTAGAGGGAGAGAAGCAGAAACTGGAGTAGCAGCTTGGTCAGACAGCACAGGGCAGGCAGGAAAAAAGCTGAGCAGCAATCAGGTTAGGGGAAAGGATCACAGTGGCACTTAGGGAGTGTACAGGGTTAATTTTTTGTTGCACATCTGCCATAAAGGTTGGCCCTACGTTAAAGAAATTGTCTTTTTTTTCATTCTGTAAAGATAACTTCAAATGCCAGTCTTAAAAGTATTTTATATAGCATTTATGATAGATTTTTGTATAATTCATTATTAAAATGGAAAAATATTTTCTTTCAGTTCTTCTACTGTCATCCATCAACATACATTTGTGCTCAAAAGAGGCTTAAACACTCCATAAATACAATTATTTTATCTGTATCCAATGAATAAATTTGATTCCTATTCACCTTACCTAAGGTGATTAAGCAGAGGTTGAAGTCTCTCGTCAGACTGTACAGCAGGCAAGGATCGTGCTGTCAGCTGGAAAAAATAACAAAATTTTAATTTATAATAATTTCATGTTAGGAAAATTTGATCACATGGAGTTCCAATGATGAAAGCAACCATGCAATTTTTTTATTCCTTAGTAAAGTATAGTATAACACATTTGTCATATATTAACAGGCACATAGAATAAAGTACAGTGTTTTTAAAAGTGCCATAAACTCAAATACTTATCCATTATTTAACAAAATTAACTAATACTAGTAAATTTTTAACATTTTGTTTTAATTGAAATAGTTATCCTTCTGTCAAGAGGTTTTTAATAATTTTAGCAAAACATCTGAATTAAAGAGGAGTATTTTTTGGTACTGATATCCTACTAGAAACTGCAAAATACAAGTGAAAATAGACTACTAAGCCCTTTTCATATTTATGCAAACAGTATATGATCCTTCACAAAGATATATGAAGATTAATGCTATGAGAAGACTGTGTGTGCATTCTGTGGTATGTCTGTAAACTGTCTCCAATTCTTTAATGACTATTTTAAGATTTAGGTTCTCTTTTCATGGCAGTACTCTACAAATTCTACAAGTATATTTTACAAGGTTCTCTGATGTAAAATACTGAAAAATTATGTCTTAAAAAACAATTAATTTAACATTCATGAACGTATATCCATTTTATTTGATACATACACAAGTTATAAGCAAAACAGTATACATGGCAAACCTACACACACACAAACAGTAAGGCACACTGGATGAATGCATGTGGTAGTTTAGAGTCAATGAATAAGAGTCTGGGGCTCGCTGCACACAAGAGGCAAATTTTAAATTTTATCAACTAAAACAGAACGAGAATGCTAACATTCCCAGTTCTTAAAACATGCTACTAAACCACAGAAACGAGGCATTAATTCCAAGACCAAGTACAAAGAAAACAGGAGCTATTTGGCAAGCAAAAAAATGCACTGATTCTTCCTAAAAGGCAAATAATTAAATTCCATTTTTAAGGTCAAGCTTTGAGTCTGCAGTTATTAGCTGAGAAACAGGGTCCACACAAATTTAAATTTCCAGAATACTTCTCTTTATAGCAATAATGTTATAATGTTATACAAAGATGTAAAAACTAAACCCACTAATAAAAAATATACACTTTACATTTCCAAATATCTTTGAAAATAAAAGGGTATGGCTTTATTTCATGGTTAGCTCAATATAACTCAAGTTCTGCCCCTAGCCTGTGTTCCACCTATACATAAAAACACTCTAGTTTAAGCTCAAGATATCTATTCTGTTAAGTAGCCCTAGTAAAACTCTAGTGCTGCCACCCATGGAGTTAACAGTACACTGGGGACTGTTTGCTAACCAAATTACTTTGTGCAATGTGTTGTTTTATAGCATGGCCACATCCACTAAATCTAGGTCAGCTCAAGTGTGCTACTGTCCATCCACTGACAAACATTCATTTAGAGGCGCAATGGGATCTGATTGTGATCCCAACAATCTTGTGTCTTGTCATGCCACACATACATAGCAGGTTGCACAATCATGATCCCAGATTCTCCCTGCACTTGCAAGCTGATTGTCAGCTGGTCCAGGACTGCACTAGAGCTCCCACCAGCCCTAGTGTGGTCCCTGAAGCTGGCCAATGATCAATCTGATTGTCAGCCAGTGGAGACCACACTTGGACCAGTTGGAGACCCTACTGCAATTTGTCACAGTCTGCCCTGACACGCTCTATTTAAGGTACAATGGAAATCAGCTACAAAAATATTACTTGGCACCATGAATTGCCTGAACATATGGCTAGATCACCATTCAAAATGTGATTAGAAGATTAATTGCGTCTTATGTGTAACATCCCAGGGCCTCAGGGTAGAGCTAAAGCCAGCTGTTGCGATGAAGACAAGACCTAAAATCATGAAGACTTGAAACAAAGCTAGAGTAATTTCTACCTTTCAGAGAACAGGGGTCAGTTACAGAAACAGTGATCTCTTCACAATAAAAGCATGACTAACAATATACTAGCAATTGGGATTGAACAGTTAAACAATGAAAAGAGGCAGGCAACACAGCCCTGCCAGGCAGGCAGTTCCCCCTCATCCCCTCTTCCTCCCTGCACTGCTGCAGCCAGCCCCAGGAAGGTGCCTTGCTGGCTGTTTCTCCCCTGGACTCCCTGGGCTGAACTGCCTGCCTGGTGGGGCTGCTTTGGCCCCGGGCTCATTACCCCCCTCCCCCAACTTCACAGAGCCACAGGCTGGAGGCCAGTACCACCATACCCATCCCCATGGGATGCAGCATCTTCTGTTGCTACAGATGCCACAGAGACTGGCAGAGTAAGGTGGAGGTAAATGGGCACAGGGTGACTACCCTGGGCCTGCAGCTCAGCCCCACTGCATGTGCTGCCACCTGCCCCACCCAGACCCAGAGCCAGGCTCCGAGAAGACCCAGCTGCCCAGTTTTGATATGAAGTGCAACCCTGGGGAGCTGCTGAATCCCCAGCTGAACTGCAGGGGCCTGGGAGCACCCTGCTGGTGCTGGGATAGGCAGACTTTAAAGTGGGCTTCACGAAATGCTAGCGAAGTCTGAAAACAATATTTAATAAAACCAAATAAATGTGCTTGCAAATTATACTCTTACTTCTAGCTCTAGAAAAATAACCAACCAACTTGTCTTATTGGTTCTAACTCTCCCAAGATGAACATTTAAAATATTCCTAAAGCATTCTATTAATTTGCCACTATTTCAAAATGCATAGTATTTAAGGAGAAAAAAATCATATAGCAAAATGAGAGAGCCATCCTAAGCTTAGATATGAATGGCTGTTCATTAAACTCTGTTAGGTTTCTTAAGATTAAAAAAATAATAATTTTGTCATCTTACCAACCAATGCGGCAGTTTGCTTTGTATAGTAGCCATGTTACATTATGGCTGTCTATTTTATTTATGTAAAATAAAACTTCTGCTGGTTAAAGATTCTTATTTTAGAAAGCAGAATTTACATTTACAGAAAGAACTGGCGTCTTTCAAAACATCAATAAAATGATATTGCCTCCCTAACCAGAAATTATCCAAACACCCTGAATAGCACCTGTTCCTTCCTTCATTTCATACTTAACAGATACAAAAACTAAAATCATAAACACAGTTACACAGAATACACCAAAGAGAGAGACAGAGACAGAGACAGAGACAGAGACAGAGACAGAGACGACAACAAAGCACACACACTCTTGGTCTACATGCAGTCTTTTATGGTTATGACTATATTCATACAGAATTTCTATTTTACAATAAGTACTATTTAATATAGTTGCTCATTTTCATTTAAGAAATAATTTTAACAAAGGACGTGCCACTTATTCAGAGACACTAATAATAAGATTTTTTTTTGATTGTAAATGATGCATTTATAGTGATATGTGCTGGTTTACTGAAACCAGATTATTCTGCTCAGTGAAAAAAGAAAATATATCTCTCTCAAAAGCAAAATTAGGAAGATACAATAAAGTTTTTGATATGCCTCAATATTATATTAAAATGGTATCTCCCTATAAAGATTAACTGCAGTAGAACACAAATACTAATACAGTAACAGCCCTGTTTTCTGACATGAACTGGGAATGGGTGGGAGGTGCCTGTAATCTAAAAACAGTTACCTGAGGCACAGGGTTTTCCAGCTGGATGCAAAGTGCGTGCGTGCGTGAGTGTGTGTGTGTGGGGGGGGGGGGAACAGCAGCTGCACATGGAGTGGTGGCAGCACAGGGTGGTAATGGTGACCGCCACCATGTGCAAGCTTCTCCCCCCACCCCAGTCTGCCCAGCTGGAAATTCCAGTTAATAGAAATGCCAGTTAGTAAAATGCTGGATAACAGGGCTTTTACCATACAAATAAATTAGCTAGACTTGTCCATCTGATTTTATGAAATACCTTAAGACTGACCAAGAAGGGACAATACTTGTTCTCCTAGTTCACAACAGGTTATATTCATCTCTAATCTGCAATAAGGGCTGGAGAGCATCAGTGACAAGTTTCATGTTCAGACCATTTTCAGGGGAAATATAACTAAAGCAAAGAACCTGTTTTTAAGAGAACACAAAGAGAATCTCTGCAGATGTTACAACTGACAAGCTCAGCAGAATGTGGAAATGTATCAACATGCCCAGCTAAACAAATAGTAGAATGTGCCATTTATATTAAGCAAATGAGCTAGCAGGAAAAGCCTGCAAGGTGGCCTTGAAATAAATAACCCATGTACAGCATAATGTAGTTTTAGCAAGAGAACATTAGCATGAGTAGTGTTTTGTGCAACAAGAGGTATCAAATGCAGTTTGTGGTATAGTAAATATACCTTTGTTAAGTTACTTAGGTAAGTTGTAATAATAAATACCAGCCTTGTTAGAGAAGACCATAACATAAGGAAAAAGAACACAGAATTGTGATAATAAAAAATCCTCCCTTAAATTTCACATGAACTGCAGCTAATTGGCACCTTTCAGGAACACGGAACAGGTTCAACCTAATTCCCAGGGTCTCAACAAAACAAATAATTTGATGCAACCATTCAGAGAATGTTCCTTAAGGGGAAAATCAGATATAAATATGTTGTACAAACTGCATGGAAACTTGGATAACTCAGTGAATCCAAGAAAGCCTACTTCTGGTCTGTGTACCATTTGCTGTCTCCCTCCTGAGTTCCCCAGTAGATAAGGGATCTTCATTCCACTTTAACGGGCAGCCAGACACACACATATATCACTGCCTATCTTGTTTAAGCCATTTAATAAACAAAGAAAGAAAAAAATCTCAAAAAAACCCCTGCCTCCTGCAAGTTATTAGTTACCAGCCTACCAATCCACCTATAATCCAGGTAGTAATGATCAAACCAAACTTCCATTATTAGGAGAATTATGTGAGTTCGTGTCACATAACCTGTGTGGTCAGGTTAATCATGTTTTAAGCGTAACATCTGTCAAGGGACACAATATCCTTGAAATGAGCATACCAATTTCAGTTTTAATAACCAGATAT